GCCCACCGCGCCAAACGGCACCGCTCCTGCAATGGGCGACGTGCAGCGAGGGCGCTTCTGCGCTTCTTGTTTCTGAGGGCGCTTCTGTGCCAGTCGATGGTCGCCCGTCGGCAGCAAGCCGCCCGAAGGAGACAGAATGTTACCACCGACGGTCTCCCACAGCGGCTGCGTGACAGCAGTGCCACATGCCGGGCAACGGCCGCCGGCCAGCGCTGAGCGGCATCGCTCCTGCATCGGGCACCGCTCCTGCATCGGGCAGAGCGATGCCGGCACGCACTCTGCGGGCGGGGTGGCCTATACCGCATCTGGCATTTCCAGCGCAATGACCTGAACCGTGGAAACGCCGAAACAAACCCGTGCAAAAAAACATAAGAATAGGCTTTTGAGGCCTCGTTGCGCTGTATCGATGGGATGCAAAGTTAGCCAAGCAAAGCAAAGCCTCCCATTAGTGGGATGCAAAGTCTCTGGAGACTGTGAGAGTTATGGGTTATTGATAGATCAGTGGTGCCTGAACAGTGTCAATGTACATAAAAACACGCAATAGGGCGCTCATTTTTTGCATCCGGGCAGCCACGTACCAGCATGGCGCCAAACGGTTACTTTTGCAACAAGCTTTGTAGGCCATTTGACAAATTGTATAATACAGTTGAGTGTCGAACGCTATCAAGACATCCCCAAACTTATTTTTCTAAGCAAAAACTTGACACCAAGACATGCTCAGCTTTCGTGTTGCAATGCTCTTGTCTTTTGTTGATTCCAAAAGTTTTGTGTGGAAATAAGTATGGATGACGTTCAGAAATTCCACCAACGGTGTCGACAACCATCGCTAAGGCAACGTTACCATTGTGTGTTGAAGCGCGCTGCTTTCGTTCCACCGCTAAACCCGGGACGCGCTCCTGCCCTGGGTAAGATTCTGGTGAGACCAAGGCCTTGTTGGGACCTTGACGTTACCAACTTACTTTTATGTTTGTCGGTGTAACGCAAACGAATAACTTGCAGGAAAAACATCGGATGGATGACATGCAGATGTCATACCCTTGCCGTGCGTTTTAAAACTATTTTCGGCGCGTCCGGTGCCGTTAATTTTAAGCCCACAGCGTGGGAGAAACCCTAGGGTAATACCCGGGCACGATTTCCCATCCAACGCTCAAGACTAGGCCATTGCCCTTCCATCCGACGCTCAAGACTAGGCCAATGCCGTTCCAGACGCAAACGGGCTCGGCGGAGCTACGTTAGTCCTCATCGTCCCAGACTCGAGAAATTCCCGATGGTGTGGCAGGTTTGTTGCCAGCCCTGACACCCAGCCAGGAGTGCTGAGTGTGAATATATAATTCCACTTGTGATATGAGCAAAGCAGAGCCATTACATGATGTCGCAATTTGCTAGATGGCTAAATTTGCTACGAGTTCTTACGCAAGTTCGAACTTGCGAGCTTCGAAGCAACTTGACGAGTTCTCTGTCAAGTCCTTCGTAACAAAAAGTGTGCGACGAAGACATCCGGCGCGAGGGTGAGCCGATGCTCGCGGAGCTTGACGCCCGTGGCTGATACGAAATCCATGTTGGGAGTCACAATCTAAGACATCGCGCAGTAGACGAGTTCAGAAGCATCTCGTTTGCGTGCTTGGGTTGGTGTCAGGCGTTGAGTGACCTTGGCATCGCTGGCTCCATTGTTAGACAATGGATTGACGACTGTGGACGCGTAAGGCGATACCGCAGATCGGGGAAATGTGACTCAATCAACGTCAAGAACTTCCTGAGATAAACCAGCTCCGACATTGGCTCGCTACCTGACCCGCCTTTGTGGGATCGCAGAACGTTTGGAGAAGTACAAATGTTGACTAAGGTGCAGCCTCCTGATGTTGCCATGTGACTTAGAGCACCGAGCAAAAAATAAGCGCGCACCCTATGATCATTCCAGCTTCCTGCTTTCCCCTACGTCCGAGGCCTGCACTTGCCAACGAGCGGCACGGACCCGTGCGACTCCTCCCTGCCTTCTGTATGGCTCTGCCAGCCTTGGAGGCCAATTCTTCACCTTCACGTGCGGGCCGACACGTGCTGCTGTTAAGGGCTGTGCCGCTGACAGCGTAAACGTCTGTCCTCAGAACGGAAGATGATTACGACTTGGTGGGGGAAGACTACTGGGACTATGCAGAAAATCAGGAGTACGAGTATGAATCGCCGGATGGAGAGGATTCAGAGGAAGGAGAACACACAGAGTCAGGCTCCAGGTACCGTCATGTCATGTCATACCATCAGCCCAGGTACCGTCATGTCATGTCATGGCATCAGCCCATGATTCATATAAATGTCTTCCCTGTGGTATTATGGTTATTTTTCTTCCCATGTACTGCCTCACATTGTCTCTTTTGTGCCCGTTTTTATCAATGATGACGTGTAACTTCTAAAAATCCACTGGATCTTGTGGAAAGTTATGAAATATATGGACATGCCTTCCGCGTGATGGAAAGCTTTCCCTACAAACAACCTCAAGAATAACTTTAACTTGGCTGTAGCACATATGGGGTGACGAAGCATCGGTCTCCAGGTAAACCAGGGTAGATAGAGAGTGGTTCGTTGCTTGATTATTAGGCGCTTTACATTCACGCACAGGGTTTAGGATAAAACCTCGGAGCGCAGCCTCAGTTAGCATCGTCGGGCTCCAGCAGCAATCGGGTTCCAGGTAAACCAGATGGATAGAGAGTGGCTCCTTGCCTGATTATTAGGCGCTTTGCATTCGTGCGCAGGACTTTAACATACAACCTCGGAGCTCAATCTCCGCCCTCTCTCTCTCTCTCTCTCTCTCTCTCTCTCTCTCTCTCTCTCTCTCTCTCTCTCTCTCTCTCTCTCTCTCTCTTCTCTCCTCTCTCTCTCTCTCTCTCTCTCTCTCTCTCTCTCTCTCTCTCTCTCTCTCTCTCTCTCTCTCTCTCTCTCTCTCTCTCTCTCTCTCTCTCTCTCTCTCTCTCTCTCTCTCTCTCTCTCTCTCTCTCTCTCTCTCTCTCTCTCTCTCTCTCTCTCTCTCTCTCTCTCTCTCTCTCTCTCTCTCTCTCTCTCTCTCTCTCTCTCTCTCTCTCTCTCTCTCTCTCTCTCTCTCTCTCTCTCTCTCTCTCTCTCTCTCTCTCTCTCTCTCTCTCTCTCTCTCTCTCTCTCTCTATCTCCCTCTCTCTCTCTCTCCCTCCTCTCTCTCTCCCTCTCTCTCTCTCTTCCTCTCTCTCTCTCTGGTTTCCAACTTAGGAGGTTCTAAAGGCTAAAAATGTGCTCCATCCTGATTACTCTATTTTTAAAAGTTGTAAGACTTAACATTAATACACATAGCACATTTCAGCACGCACTTTCTTTCCTCTTTCGCTGGGATTTTACTTGCGCAGCGTAGGCTGTTCCGAATCTGCAGGCCAGGAAATCGGGCGTCTGCCGTCGTCTGGACCGCATTCTGTCTGCTAACGGCTCACAGCAAGACATGGGGACCACCTGTGGTGCATTCAGCTTCCATGACACACTAGCGGATGACACGCGGCCCAAACGCGCCATGCAATACAACGGCTTTGGTTCGAGTAGTGTTTTGGGGGTTGCTTTTGTGTGGTCAATGTCCCAGCTTTGTGCTAACTTGTTTGAGATATTCTGAATAGTAGATATCAGCGCTCCAGGATGTCTAAATTTTTGTTCCGTCGATGACTTAAAGGGAATGTTTTACAACTGATGATATTGAAGCAATCATGAAACATGATGAAACAACTCAGTCATAATTATCTTAACCATTGATATATTGATTATATATCATTGCATAACTATTGGCATACCTTTTAAGTGGAAAATACTGCTCTAAACAACACAATTCCCTGTTTAGTCAATTTGCTCCTAAATACGCCATGGTTTTGAATACGCCCGTCGCACCTCGCACAACACGGAGAGGCAGTTGACAGCTGTTTTATCTGGAATTGCGCCCACGAATGCCAGATATGAACGCCTCGGGAATCACATTTTTTTAGACCTTGAATGGCTTCGGTAATGGCAGGATTTGAATGACGTTATCATGATGTTGCAAATGCCAAGGCGACCTTGAAACACTGCCCGATATACCCTTCTCCATTTTCGCGGGCGTTTAGCTCATAAACTACAAGGGCTGCAAGACTCAAGCAGCGCGGGATTGTGACCAGCACTGAAAGGTCTTCATGATCGTTCGGTTCAAAACCCCATATAATGTGGGAAATTTCTTTTAAGCCGATTGGGATCTTCACAAAATCCGTCACCGAATCTGGAGCGACTTCTTCAGATGAGGTTACCACACTAACTAATGCAAGAAGCAAAAGAAGCCATGTTGGCATGTGTGCAGCACGCACGACTCACGAATCTTCTGGAGAGAAGAGTCGCGCCGAGGCAATGCACCATCGCGACGCTCCTGGGCACTTAACTTTGTCCAAAAAGAAAGCGCTCATCAATTGGCAATGTTTCTGCTCTCAACGCGGCATATTTCATAATGACGTATGCTCGGAATGCGACGTGAAGAAAGTCGTGTACGAATAAATGCGGTGCAAGTAATCACACCCTACCGATACAAAAAAAAACATTTGAAGAACGACGTCCAAAAAGCGGTGCGAAAACTTGTGTATGCAAAGTTCGCCGATTGCGAAGATTTCCGAACGTGAAATTGCACCGATACAAATATGTGTGCGTCAAAATTATCGTGCGAGGGTTTGCGACACGAAAGTTAGCGTACACAGCACCAGGCGTGTTTTACCACCACCATCTTATACGAAGCTTTGTGCGGGAAGGAATGCTTCGTGAATAAATTGCAACCCGAAGTTGTGCCCGGTTTCGGGCAGCATCAGCTCCTCAGCCGCCGGCAGAGCAGCCGTGGCTGGGGGCATTGTTGGCACGAGTTAATCTGTCGCCCAGCGAAGCGGCGCCAGCGTTCGCAGGCGCGCGAGTCGCTGCTTGTCATGTCTCGTGCGTATGACGTCTGTTTGCGGTCGGCAGTCATCGCGGATAAAGCAAACCTCTTGCCCCCAGACGAAGCTGACGGCGCCGCCGAATCAGCAGAGCCAACCTTCTACGAGGTGTCCACGCAGCCGGGAGTCGGCAAGAAGGAAGGTACCTATAGACGCGAGCACCAGGGGCACAGCCCGTCCCTCCCGCTCTATCTCTGACGCACAGTGCAGGGCGACAGCCGGCCACAGGCTTGGTCGTGTGTGCTCGGACAGCACGTGGGGCGCCTCTCATGCTCCGAGGCGCCAGTGAACCAGACAGCGCGCTACATTTGCAACTGCTTATACATCGGGCGCTCATGTATGGTCGGGCTTGACAACGTTGAAAAACAATGGCGAAGACACTGGATGGCCGATGCTCGACCACCAGTTCTTTCATAATTCATTCCTAGACAGACCGCTTGGCACTTCGAAGCTTGTTGTCTTTACCCGCAGTCTTTGCTCGGGCATCAAGCGATTCTACTTTGTATTGTGGTTGTTTGAGTTTTCTTCGAGGAGGCATGTCTTCATATTACGACAATGCCAGAATGTGCAGCAGTCGCAGCGCACCGTACTGTGCAGCTTATTCTGAACTGTCTTCCTGAGGTGCCGACTCGACGGAATCGATTGGCGCGACGGGCCAAACCGCTGATGACGTCACCGAGGCCGTGACCGGTACGTGTCGGATGGCGCCGCCCGCCAGCCGTGCGCGGCGCCGACAGCGCATTGTCCGCTAGAGTGTGATGCGGTTGGAGAAATCCTAGCGAGTGGGAATGTTTTTCGCGTTCTTCTGGGCAAGCGGAAGCGGCGTTTCCGCTTAGGTGTGCTTGCGCTGGCATTCGACATCGACGCTTTGCATGATGATGAGTTATATTGGCGCCGTCGATTTCAATATTGCCTGCGGTGCTCACGACGCTTTACGAACTGCCACGTCGTGGTCCCATTTTTAGCGGGAAAGTGCACATGTCGTTTTACAAAGGTGAAAGTGATATTTCCGTGCACGTGCTCTCCCCGCCACTGAAAGAGTATTGTCTAAGGAATGTATCCCGTGACATGAACATGATGTGGAGAATGACTGTTCCCCACTTCGCCTGTTTACGTCTTGCTCCAATATTTTCGGAATATTATTTGGAGGCGTGCTATTCCTTTTCCTTCTTGGTGCCCAAGGGGGCTACAATTATTTCGAATGGAGGTCACGTGTGTTCATTTCTCTAACGTGGTACACAAATGGTAATGTGATTTGAAGTGACTCCAGTGCGTTCTCGGCTCCGCTCCTACAGAAGCGGCTGGCGGGTCCGTCAGACGACGGCGCCAGGTGCGAACCACTGGTCCTCCACGGAGTAGCAGGAGTAGTACCTCGCCCAGACCGTCCGGTGGGAGCGGCGGCGCCGCTCGGCCTCCGGGCTCCACCGGCCGGGCGCGGCTGACCGGCCGGCGGCTGCAGTCGGCGCCGCCGGAGCCTCGTCCGAGGACCGCCGCCAGGCGGCGCAGGGAGGCTCCGGGCAGGGCTCAGGTGGGCACGCGCACACTACAGACACCGCCCGGGTGGGCTGGACAGCAACATCCTGACTGTGGACGCTGCTCAGATGGGTGGGCCGCACATCCTGTCTGTGGACGCCGCCTCAGGTGGGTGGGCCGCACATCCTGTCTGTGGACGCCGCTCAGATGGGTGGGCCGCACACCCTGTCTGTGGACGCCGCTCAGGTGGGTGGGCCGCACATCCTGACTGTGACGCCGCTCAGGTGGGTGGGCCGCACATCCTGTCTGTGGACGCCGCTCAGATGGGTGGGCCGCACACCCTGTCTGTGGACGCCGCTCAGATGGGTGGGCCGCACACTCTGTCTGTGGACGCAGCTCAGATGGGTGGACCACACACCCTGTCTGTGGGACGCCGCTCAGATGGCTGGGCCGCACACCGTGTCTGTGGACGCCGCTTCAGATGGGTGGGCCGCACACCGTCTGTGGACGCCGCTTCAGATGGGTGGGCCGCACACCCGTCTGTGAGCGCCGCTCAGGTGGGTGGGCCGTAGACATCACGTACATGCGCAGTTTCATGTTCATGGCGACCCGCTCGGCCCGTGTAGCGTCGATGGTAGCGCCCGGGCAATGTCGGGTGGAATACGCTCCCGTACTGGTCAGAAAACAGGACTGCTGTGTCTTTGCTTCGCAGAACTATCGTGGAGATGTGATGCAGCCCTGGATGTTCAAGAACGGCATCGATAGGCGGTTAGGATGGTTGAGAGCCCTCGTGTTTATTCACATTGTAGCTAATGCACTTGTCATTGTCAATCTGGAGAATGTAGCGCTTGAAGGGAAGTTGTAGGTGGGCCAGGCAGTTTGGTAGTCGCACGTCTGTACGTAGATTTTCCTTGTGCACTTCTGCCAGCGATGTGCCATGGCTGTAGAATCAGGATCCATCACCACCTAGACGACTCAAAGGGCTTCACATTGCAAAGATGGAGGTAACTGATTCCTGTGTGTCCCATTACGAGCAATTACGAGCACAGGTACATAAGCCCCGGTACATTAATCCACAAGTCCCCACTTTTCACCATAATCCCCTGCCTGAGATCCTTCATTGCCATGTAGCCACTCATGCTATACCAAAAACCCATGAACCTTGCTAACACTAGGATCACCCTCGATTCTGGCAGTATTCTCGAATCATATCTTGCATCGATCAGGATAAACAGCATCTTGATGAACAAGATGCACCTGGAGTCCCATCCCATGCATGTGTGGAAGCATTTTGTTCCATTTCAGTTGACGACGGAAACGGATCAATGACGTTCTTCGATCCCACATGCAGGTGTGTGAAATGACATGCGACGCATACGGCTGCTACCAGTCCGGTGAGTCATCACGAGTCATTCGGCTGCTGGGGACCACCATGCTGTCAGAGTGACAGTGTGTGTGGGGCATGGACACGTCATCACGTCCCATTTCGGGCGCAGCGTGTGCAGCATCTCTGTCAGTCGTTGTGGCCTGACTTTCGGTCTCAAATTTCCACTGTGCGCCGATTGCAGTCGTGTTTTAGCGACCGCCAGCAGCGAGTGGTGAGGACATGGGCTCGAGCCTTCGCTAGGGTGAGGCGTGTTTTGCAAACGCGGGTGGAACACTCGGCACGACAGGCGTGACAGCAACTACACTCACTTTTCTCAACATAACCGACACCTTAAAACTCCGGTAGCACACAAAAACGTAGTAGATTTCTGACCGCTCCGGTGGCTCTCCACGCAAGCCTTTGCCAGTATCGTCCGCGGGACGGAGAGCGGAGCCCCTGAACTGCTTGGAGGTATCTGCGGAACCGTGTAATGAAATTGGAAATGTCTGGGTTTGGAAAGTCCTTTCTCGTGATCTGGCAGTTTCAACTGCATTCATGCATGTCACAGGCAGGAGGAACGTGAGGAGCAGAGTATTGAAAACTGATGGCTGGCGCCTCACCATTGTCGTACCCTGCAGTACTTCGTCTTGTCGCGTGGCGTGGAGGTGCAAAGGGGTTTGATAGGACACTTTTTAAATGTTTGTAGCCTTTCCAAGGTGACGGTGTCAAAGTAAACAGGTCAAACATCGAAGTGTTGGTCAAATTAGCCGACAGGGGTTGTAAGTCTCATGAATAAAACGACTGGCACGAATTCGTGATGACTTAAGGTACATTCCAGACCAAGGTCATACTTGGTCAACGTTTAGTTTGTCAAAGCGGTGTTGGTATAATTTAGCAAGGCACCAATATCGTCGTGATCCAATGCATCTTTAAGTTTGAGGTGTGTGTGTGTGTGTGTGTGGTGTGTGTGTGTGTGTGTGGTGTGTGCGTGTGTGCGTGTGTGCGTGTGGTGGTGTTGTGTGTTGTGCTGTGTGTGTGTGTGTGTGTGTGTGGTGTGTGTGTGTGTGGTGTGGTGTGTGTTGTGTGTGTGGTGTGTGTTGTGTGTGTGTGTTGTGTGTGTGGTGTGTGTGTGTGTGTGTGTGTGTGTGTGGTGTGTGTGTGTGTGTGTGGTGTGTGTGTGTGTGTGTGTGTGTGTGTGTGTGTGTGTGTGTGTGTGTGTGGTGTGTGTGTGTGTGTGTGTGTGTGTGTGTGTGTGTGTGTGTGTGTGTGTGTGTGTGTGTGGTGTGTGTGTGTGTGTGGTGTGTGTGTGTGGTGTGTGTGTGTGTGTGTGTGTGTGTGTGTGTGTGTGTGCGTATGTGTCATTGGGGCTTTACGACGCACTCAGCTGCCGAGGCTTTATGGCGACGCCTGCCTCTCACCCTGGCAGGAAGGACGTGCATCGCGGGGAATCGAATCCTGTACCTTCGGCTTTCCAGACGCGCAGTGGTTAACGTAAATACGTTAACCATTACACTATCGGCACATAGTTACCGGTACGGTTAAGTTTGAGGGTGATCACATGTCAGGGCCCAAGTGGGTCATGACACAAGTTCATGACACCATCACATTTCATCGGAAAGTAGATGGGAGGGGGATTTTTTTTACTCGATTCAGTCCACCTCGTAGATACATGAAAAGCTACACATGATACGACAGGAGTGCGTTCAGCCTCGTTAGATCCGATCCACAGCCGAACCGTAAGAGATGGCTTTAAATGATCTGAGCAGGAGGCTGGAACACGTGCAGGACTATCGTTCTTTTTCTTCGTTTCGCCCGCGTGGATCGCCTCGACTGAAAGCGGTACGCGGGGAAGGCTTACGTCTGCCTCACGCTGCGAAAAGTGACGGAAACGCGGGGGCTTGACAAGAGCAAATAGAGGTCACTGGGCTCGGCTCTCAACGCTAAAAGGCCTGGTCTCGGTTCCCCCAGGGCAGGGCTGGAGCACCACAAGGGCTTTGGAGGACCGAACTCAATAAATTGCACAACGGGTCGTTAGGCCCATGGTGCTTTACCGCATGAATCGTTGACAAACATGCAATGCACTAAGTGCCCGTTCGATGAGTTCCGTTTAACAGCTCCGTGACCTGTCCAGACTCCGTATTTGATGATCTGGGGGACAACAAGAGCTTTAGGAAGCTGCTGGAAAAGCTCAAGACCAATGACGGCGACCTGAAGATGTTGCGGCGGGCGTTCACTCCCTCCGCGGACGAGATGAAGCAGTACGGCATAAAGAGCTCGCAGTTCATCACCTCCTGCCTCTCTGGACCACACCAAGTGTACCCACGAGTGAGTGGAAGTGCACGACGTGTTGGGAGAGATCTGGGTGAGGGTTAACGCGTCTTGATAACACTTGGTGCCGATCTTGCTGCTCAGATCTGCTTAGCTGAGGTAATTTGCATGCATGACTTGACCTGCGCCTCATTTTTCTACATCGAATTACCATATCAAAATGCCGTTTCGATACCGGGAAGCGTATGCTGCATTTCTTCGAGAGAGCAGGAAGCAGAACAAGAAAACATTCACTGCATACTGGATAGCGTCGTATCACAATTGAAGTCCATTCCGGGCCGCTGTTGTGATGCTGCTTTGCCCGACCACCCTACGGACGGACGGCAAACGGCTTCTTTTAGAACTGAATGCGGGCAAGTTGGTCTCGCAAACGCAATATCAAATTCGAATGTCCGTTTTTCAGGGACTTCCATCGATGGCAGAGCGATGGTTTATGGAAACACTGCTTCACCTTTAACTCTGGCTTCCGCTACAAGCATAGTGGGAGGAAGTGGATGCATTCAACGCCCAACAAGACCAGGTCCTATGGATCCCATGGTAAGGGCAACTATTTCGACTTTTACATACAGACTATATTATATGTTGGCTACTATTTGTTAGCTGGCCGTCGATACCATCATATAGTGAGGTTACCATTGCCGTCGTGGGCTGTCGCGGTAACGTGGCAACATTGCGCCGTGGTGAAGGTAACCACACAACACACACCACACCTACACACACACACACACACACACACACACAGAACACACACCACACACACACACACACCCAACACACACACAACACACACCACACACACACACACACACACACACACCACACAGCACACACACACACAACACACACACACACACACACCACACACACACACCCACACCACACACAACACACACCACACACACACCCACACACAAAACACACACACACACCACACACACACCACACACACACACACACACACACACACACACAACCAACACACACACACACACCACACACAACACCACACACACCACACACACATCAAACACACACACACACACAACACACACACACACACACACACACACCACACACACACACACACACACACACACAAACAACACACACACACACCACACACACACCACACACACACACAACACACACACACACACACACACACACACACACACACAACATATACATTATATATATATCTATCTATATACTATACTATATATATATATATCTATATATATATAATATATATATATATATATATATATATATATATGTATGTTTGTGTGTGTGTGTGTGTATGGTGAGTGTATGTATGTATGTGTGTATGTATTGTGCGTGCACGTAAGAATGCATGAATAAATGAATGTGTGTAGGCCAGTATTACGGCTAGGTTTGCCTTGCATACTTACGCATAAGTCCCTCGCATTCACATATACCTTTTCACTTTGCGTTCTGTATTTTGGCGATGGGCCGGAACAGCCACGTGTACGATGCGAACCGTCCTGATATGCCTCTGACGTCCGATATTGCCACAGATTTTTCTCTGACGTCTGATAGGCCACGAACGGGACGTCATACGAGACCCATGTGTACGCACGGGACGTCATAACATGTGTACGATATGAATCATCCCTCCGTACCTCTGACGTCTGATACGCTACGGTCAGTCCGGTCTGCGCGTGACGCTGAATGTCGACCCGAAACGGTACGCCTCGCTGCTGACGCCGGACGTGGGCGTGCGCGTGCTGATCCACCCGCCCGACCAGCTGCCCTTCCCGGAGGAGAAGGGCTTCAGCGTGCTGCCCGGCCTGACCACCATCGTCGGCATGCGGCGGGTGAGTGGCGCGCGGCAGCGCTGGCCCCGGAGTACCGGCGCTCGCACACAGCTGACACGCGGTTCCAGCGCTGCGACTGTAACGCTGGAATGCACTGTGCATGGTGTAACACTGCCACTGTAGCAGCGTATGCAGACAGGACACTTACACTGCTGACATGCCACTCCGAAACTGTAGGCGTGACAGTGCGGACACACAGCCCCGTCATTGTAGTGGTGCTGACAGCCCTGACGGCTAGTGAAGCGCCGTCGCCTCACACCAGCGCTGTTGACACACAATGCCAGTGGCGTTACACTGTTGACGCGAAGAAGTTACAATGTAAAGCCGCCAAGCTGATTTTATACTGGAGAACTGCTGACGTGTAGTTTCAGAAGTGTAATTATGCCGGCACGCAGTCACAGTGCTCCAAAGTGACTTTTTCTTCAAAACGCTGTCAGTCAAATACTGACAGTGTTTTCTGGCACCGTAGGCAATAAGCATTTGCAATTTACTCCTGTAGTTTGGAGGGGAAGCTGCATTTGCATTGTGGTCTCGTGCAACACGTCTGACCCACAAGCATGCGGCTTGCCACCCCAGAGGAAAGCGTCAGAGACGACACGCTGACGGCGGGTGTCTCCGTTTGCAGAAGCGGATCGATCGCGTGGGACCGCCGCACGGCACGTGCCGCTCCACTGCCGAGTGGGGTGACAAGACCAAATACACGCCCACGGTCCGTCCGTGTGCCGTCGTCCGGCAGCATGTGTGCCATTCACGAAGAGCTTAGATATCGGACGTGTGAAGGGCGCTCACGGAGCCCTTTTCTGGTGTGGGATGGATAGTGACCGGCCGGCTCTGGTCGGTCGCCTGGCTCTTTTGATGCGTTGTGCGACAGGACAACGTTCCCGCGTCGGTTTGATGCGCGTCAGTCAGAGCACGGCTCTGAAAACCGCCGTGCCAGGGCGCCAATGCACCTCAGCAGTTTGACGCCCATTATTGCTACCTTCTTTGCTTGGGCCGTCAAGTGCTCGTGCGATCGGGGGTGGGTTTTTAATTTTTATATTCTGCGGCTGGTTTGAAACGAAATACTGCTGTCTATGCTGGATGATGCCCCTGTAAATGAACAACGATTAACTATAATACCAACTTTTGTATGTATATATATATATATATATATATATATATATATATATATCCCTAGCTATAGCTGCGCGGCGGCTAGCAGGACCATTTGACATGACGCGTGGGTGCTGGCCGGTCGGGCTGTGTTCTCTGGTGACGTGGCCGGCTTGGCCGACCGACTCGCCTGACGCCGCCGTGTCCGGCAGGCGTGCCGCAAGCGCTGTCAGGAGGCGGACATCCGAGAGACCTGCAACTGCGCCGATTCGGTGAACAAGGCGCTGACGATCGGCCTGCCGTCTGACCTGCCGCCCTGCAATCCGCTGACCAGCCTGGAGGACGGTAGGGGGCGCGGCGAGCCCGCGACGGGGCTCGGGTCGCTGTGGCGTTTGTGCCGACCGACTGGCGCCAATCAAGGGGGAGTGCGGCGCGGTGTGGGTTTCCAGCTGACCCCTTCACAAATATATGGAAACAATCTAACGCCGAGTAGATCTGCGTGCCGGGTTGTATTGTTCAGCTGTATTATTGGGTTATATATACGTTTAGATGACCTGGAAATATGGCTTGGCGTGTGCACTGACAAGTAGGCATTAGTCAGAGCCACATATCTGTGTGCAGGTAAAACAATATTTGAATATCAACCGAGCCTTACGTCTCAAGTCTGAATAGGATATCCACATTCATGAAATTATAAAAATAGTAATGACACAAAACCGCTATAAGCTTTACTAAAGTTATGCTAGGAGGGAAATAATCGAGCTCATTTATATTTGTTAGTCTTTCTCATGACATTGATAAGTACGCGTTGTGTCCAAATTTTAAAGAAACCGTTTGCGCACAGCTGATTCCGGACCTTTTATTTTGGAAGGGATCTGCTGTGCGCGTGAGGTATGAAGTACGGTGTTCCGCGCAGCATATGCGCTACATTTTCTGGTAAAATTACAATCCCAGATCCATTCACTCAGCCAACGCTGGGCATGTACCAAATGTCTAGGCACAGGCTGCACTCAGAAGCTGCAAAATAAGCAGAGCACTCGTGCATTACCGGCGGTTTTTTTTGTTGCTGTGCAGATGCTACCGAGCTATATCGAAGTAATTTAATAATTTCAGCACTCGAAGGAGCTGGAGGGGGCTGACCCGCGTTTAGTTCCAGTGGTTGAGCGCCGTGATTACATGTATACTAGAATTAATAAATCACATCAAAGCTTCAAAGACAACGAGGCATTCATCATGGGCTCCTCGAGACTCTCGGTGTTACAGGGCCGTCTACGTTGCGGTAGACCAAATGAAACGAAGGTGTGTGGTGTACTTCCGTCTTATTTAGGGGTCAGATAAAGGTTAGAAATCCAGCTATAAAGCCGAAAACGTACATCGTCGTATTTCCATCATAAGTACGTACCAGGAGCGCATTCAGGCACTCCAAGATAGGGATTCAAGTGGCAAGTTGAAAAAACTGACACTAGTTGTGTTTCTTTTATATCACCGGCTTCGCCGCTGCACGATGTATCAAACACTTCAAACTGACTTGTAAACTAGGAAGTGTTACCCAAATTTCAGTTGAATTTGAACTTTGAAGGAAAATTAATTACCCCATCTCCTAGCTGTCACCGTCGCTGTCCAAGCGGTCCGCTTGGGTATATATACAGTATTGGATACAGTCTACGGTCTACAGTCTGCGGTCTACGGTCTACGGGGGGGGGGGGGGCAGAATGCATCCCCCGCAGATAAGTGTAAATCTTGCGGTCCGGGGAGAACAAAGTTGGACTCCTGCCCATCTTATTACACCCGGGCCAAGATCTCAAAACCTTTGCGCATCTCTTTTGAAACGTGTATCCCGTTACGAAATCACTAAATGGTTTAAAGAGCTATTCCCCGAAGGAAGACTTATAGGAAAGTAATATCTGATCAAGTAGCTCGATTCCTTTTAATATGTAGCCCTGTCTTTTTTTGGAGCACGTGTTCTATTACGAAATTGCCATTTTAATGTCGAGAAAGTGACCATTTTGCTGTCTGCGAAGCCCCTGCAGACGACGCCCGCTGGGTGGCTGTGTTTCAGATCGGTGTCGGCAGCGGGTCAAGTCGAAATACGCCCACGGTTGTCAGCACCTGTGACTGCCCCCCAGCCTGTGTGTAAGTCAATACATGCGCGCGCACAGGGGTGCACACCGCACACACACACATTCACACTCTGTACACGAATATGCGAGGCGAGACGAGCGGGTAGCTCAGCCGCGTGCAAACACCAGACGGGCCTCCGCACTGACCTGGAAACCTGACCTGACCTGACCTGACTGACCTAACAAGCGACCCTTTGCTAGCTGGCCTTCGACGGATTGAATCAGCTTTGTCGCCAGCGCTCACCTGCAGTCCGCTGGCCATTGGCGACTGAATAATGCTCAGCTGTTGCTTTCGGGCTAATGCACGTCGAAGTAGGCATTCAGTCCAAATGGTCAGATTGTCCACCACCATCTTGGTTTTCGATGAAATTTGATCCTGAGAGTGAGAGTGAGAGAGAGATCCTGAGAATCCCCTTGACAGACCCCCTCTGCCAGTTTGTAGCCTGGGTGACCCTTGAGTTCAGAGTCGGATGCTCTCGAACCGCCTGAACGACTTGGAACCCAACGGGTTGGAAAGCTCTGTAACGTTATGAAAAACTGACGTAATAGTGCTCACCAGTGTAGTATGTGTATACCCTATTCATCACAATGGTGTCATTTAAGTCGTGTAGAGTAATTTCATGGCTCCTCTCATTGGCACTTGTATGGGAATGGGGTAAATTTGGCCCCCTTTATTTTTTCTGCCATATCTTTCCTGGAAAACTTGGTTTAGGAGTATATGTTGACGTTCGTTTTTAATTCTTTGCTCACAAGAACGCCAACAGTCCAATTCTTTTGACTTTCTTAAGGTCAGGGGAGGTCGCTGACCATGCATGTTCTCGACCATCCCGTCGCTTGCGTAATATGCCAACAACGATAGTTCTTGATGTTTATTTTCGTTTAACTAGTGACATAATTTAGATTGTTTCGGTCATTTCGACCCTTCCACTGGTCAGATAACATCACTGAACTAAGGTGATCCCGAGTGGCTTTCTCTTTAGAAACGGTGTGCAGATCAAACTTGGTTCAACGAAAAACCTGAGGGCACTTCGGACGATCTCATTTTTGACCTTTTCTGACCCCACTGACCTGAAGACCATGACCTGGAGGTCTGAAAATGCGAAGCAAGTTACTTCACATAGATCCGAACCCACGCTGTCAGTTTGGTGTCGCTAGTTTTCTCAGTTTTTAAATAATTTTTCAGGGGGCGTCAAATTGACCTCTAAACCCCACGCGAACCCTTCGCATTCAACCGACCATCCAGGTGTGTGTCAAAAGTGCGGGGTTTCGTCTTGTTAGAAGCCCTGTCAATTCGAAGTACTTCGGATTACACATTTCGCGTGGATCCGATTTTCCTTCACATGTCGCGTTACAAGCCTTCATGTATTTGTAGCGCTGTGGTAAACGCTTTTTTTTAGGTAAATGAAATCGTCTGAGGTGGGGCCATTGGATGTCCCCATGTGTAGCTTACACATTTTGCCCTAATAATTATCACATTGGGCTCTACCAACGTCATGACTTCTAACATAGCTGAATAACTAGAAATCAATCATAATATGTCACAATTAATCATAATCATAAATGTAAAACATAAATCAAGTAACGCCCGGTAGCATTAGTTGAGACGCCATTATGAGTTGAATGCACATATGCTACTGACATTCAAATTACCAGGAGGTACTGGTTTAAACGACTCTCTAGTGCTAAACAACGATAGAGCCTCTTAGAGCTGGGTGACGAAGGTCGTGCATTTGTATGGATTCGACGTATGATTCCATGATTGAGTGTGGAAGTGCTTGACTTTCATTGCGTAACGGGCGAGTTTGTTGTGGTTTAACTACCTTGTGCTCAGGCACGTGCCCTACGCTTTTGCATGATTTGTTTGAATGCATTCCTCGTGCACCGCGAAAGTAAAGTTTGGGGAAATGTGAATGAATATTTGATATGTTGCCACATGCATACCAGAGTACTGTGACCAAGGATATCGTCAAGGTAAGTAGCATTGGTCGATGCATAGAGGGTCACAGACGTGGTAGAGCGGTTGGGTTTATTGCTGGGACTTTATGACCAATGTGGTATCTCGGTGAGGCACGCTACGCTTGTACACTAAGCAATTACACTTCTTTTTTGCCGCGAGCAGCGATGCGGCGCGCTCCCTGGTGTCAGTGTAACGACGCCAGGGGCAGCAACATCTGGCCATGGCCAGTTGGAGCATACGGACATCCTAACATAACATAAAAATCATTGAGTTCAAAAACTGAAATGCTTCGCATTTCAAAGTGGCTTCCTACTGAACACTGTTCAAAGTGTTGGTCGTCTATCTCTTGTGGCACCTCAGTTAACCATTTTCATCGCTGTTTTTTCAACTTCATCGTCCTTCTCCTCAATTCCATTTCAAATTTCTGCTTCGTTCTGCACTCTCAGGCCCAGGGGACAGACCAGTGCACAACGACCTTGATGTGGCTGCAGCTGCCTTATAATACTATGCTTATGTTTGCATGCACTTCCTAAGAAAGTCAACGATGATGCAGTTAGCCATGCTATTATATACAAAAATGAGTATAAGCCGCTGGCCTCGGTCGCCACATGATCCTACTCGTAGCCATGAAACGGCCGTCTCACTCCAAAGAGGGATGCTTGCCTTGCCGCACCAAGACTTTATGCGTTATGGGAAGGGCTTTTCTTTCTATCATGGGCCTCCACCATTCAAGATCTCTGTGGTGCGGGGAGGAGGCTTACCCGCTGTCATGACTCGTGCTCACCAGCCGCCGCATAATGGCTCCTCATTACACACTATCCCTACGTGTTGGCTTACCAGGTCATGGCACGGGCCTTATGCAGTGGTTTGGCTCTCAACCACCTAAGATCTTTAAATTAATTGATCTCCTTTCATTCATGACACGATGGCGCACGACCGCTGCCGACCGTATCCGATCCTCCATAGCCGGGATCTCTGCGCGACCATCACATACGTTGTCGGTCACACGCGGGCCCTGTCGCATACGGACGCCGACCATACACGTAGGATGCAGCGTCCTTTCAGCCTCCTCCCCCCAGGTACAGGGGCCTCATAACGCCGGAGGGCGGGCACACATGTATGTGAGGGGTGGTCAGCCGTCCACCTGACGCCGTCACCCCTGCGCAGCATGACCCTGCGAACGGGCTTAGGCACGAGCAGATGGCGTGTGCGAGGACAGTGCATATATGTTAGCTTCCAGCAGACATGTGCCTGGATCCCAATGGTGGATCCAAATACCGAGGGTGAATTCAGTATCCCAAGGGCAAATCCAGGACTTAGTAAGGATCCCTGCTTATGAGGACCCGGGATCTTTGGGACTCCCGGTATATGTCTGGTTGCAATGTTATTAGGGTTTCGATATCGCCCCAGCCCAACATGACGTCACACAGATCGCGGTGGTTGAATCATGCTTCGCAGGACAGCGAGTTTATTCTTGGTCTCTGTTTGCAGTGAGGATCGATATGATCAGACCGTCTCCATGAATCTCCCCAATAAGATCTACTACAAGATCATCAGGAACATCACGGACGGCTATGCTGGTGGAGATATCTGTGATACGTGAGTGGTACCCTGCAAAAATAGCTAACCAAACTAACCTAGAAACTTGTATGTTTGTCGCATGGTCCTGAGTCAGTGCCGGTTTCTTTTTTTGTTTACGATGCCTGGAGAATACCTTACAGCGCACAAGTTAGCACGAGTATCCCATGCCTCCACTCTCAATGCGACTTCAGCCCCGGTTTTTATCACACCGCAGGTCCGAGATTTCCAACAATACGATCCGACTCCAGCTGTTCCTGGAGGATCTCTCATACGAAAGCATCCACGAATCGGCGGCCTACTCACTGGAGGCGCTCATCTCCAACATCGGTGGCTTGATGGGGCTGTTCGTGGGCATCTCGGCACTGACGCTGGTCGAGTTCATCGAGTACGCGATGGAGCTGGTGACCAACGGCTGCCGTAACTGCTGCAGCAGCTCGGCCAGCAAACGTTCCGGCATCCGGCGCGTCGAGGTGCTGCCCCCAGACCAGCAGACCCGGCATGCAATGTGAGTGCACGCGTACGGTCTTCCCCTCATGTCTCCCAATCCCTTCTTCGGAGCTTCTGTCGGGTCTAAGTTCCGCGGGCGAATTCAATGGCGGATCAGCTTCTGAAAATATGGGACAACAAAGGAGGTATCCGCTTCGTCCATGCAACGCTATAAGGTTGGCATTCTTTAAGGGGAACGACTGCTCCGAATCCGACGAGATCCGACGAGATCCGAATCGCGTATTCTGGAATGTGTTTAATCAAGCACACAAACCCTCGATGACGGGATCCGAACCGCGTATTCTAGACTATGTTTAATCCAGCACCGGTCCGAGACTTCGGTGACGGGATCCGAACCGCGTATTCTAGACTATGTTTAATCCAGCACCGGTCCGAGGTCTTCGGTGACGGGATCCGAACCGCGTATCCTAGACTATGTTTAATCCAGCACCGGTCCGAGTCTTCGGTGACGGGATCCGAACCGCGTGTTTTGGAATGTTTTTTCTGTTTATTCTGGAATGAGTTTCCTTTCGAGGTCGCGACATGGAAGGCACAACTACTGCAGCGTGTACATAGGTGCCGAACTATCTCAGCCATGCTGTTTACAGCGTGAGCCGTCCATGATATGTGCTGGTACAACGATTTACGTTCACTAAACCAAGTAATGCACTGGGTATATGTTCGAATGTAAAGCGCAGCCGTAATATTCACAACGCATTACACTTCAACACATTCAATAGGCATTTTTGTTAATCTTTCGCACACGGACTATTTGCAGCAGTGGGGTCTGCGTCAGAACATCTCACCTGGACGTAGCTTGTTGTGTGAACACTGCCCGCGCCGTGAAAATGGTCCGGACTGCTGCGCAATTCCCCTCATCCTGTTAGCCGAATGATGCCAGGAATTTCTAAAGTGTCACTGAAGATCATGACACAGCCGGGCGTGGTAAAACTTCCACTCCGCGGCTTGAAATCACGACGCCTGGAGTGGAAGTCCACAAACGTGGAGACGCATCTCAAATCCTGCGTTCAACTCTCGCTATGAGAGGAGACCGGTGGGCTAACCACTATGCTTTCGGGACATCTGCTACATCCGGCGGCATCACTTCGATCTGGCCCCTCGATCTGTGCTCCGGCATGTTATGCCGTCACTGGGTGAAGTCCGTTTTTAATGCACTAGAAGCGTCAGGCCTCTGGAGATGAGCGCCAGTTTTGGGGAGTTTGGCGCCGAGGTGCCGTCGCGCCGACGGTCTGATGCTGGTGTCGCTCTTGCCGGTAGGTATCACGGTCATCCACACGTTTGAGAAGCCTCCGCCTCACATCGAATACCTCCCGCCTCCGCCCAAGCCTCCGCAGACGGAGAGCGCAAGCCAGACGAAGGTTTCGCTCACGTTCCTCGGCAAAACGAGCAAAAAGGCCAGCAAGAAGGCCAAGGGAGGCCCGAAGCGCCGTTAGCCGCGCGTCCGCCGGTACGCCGAGCCGTCAGGGGTGATCGTGCCGTCGGCCTGGCTAGCGCGCGGCCGTGGCGACCCGCCGTCACCGCAGCGCGACGCTCTGTTTCAGACATTCCGCGTGGTCCACAAGTTTGAGGTACCTCAGGAGACAGAGGTGCGCGACTGGCCGCAGCCGACTCTGGTCGACCGCCAGATGAGCACCATGGTCACCGTGCAGTCAACGGGCCCGACAACAAGGCCTGGATGAAGATCAAGTGAACGGGCCGGGCGGGCGCGCCGCGCGTCGGCGCCGACGTCGCCGGTGCAGGGGCGGGCGGGATGCTGGAGACGGGCGGCACTGGGTCGACGGTGAACGCCTGTCCTAGGGGAAACGGCGCGTTTTGTTCTGGGCTAGAGGCCGTGCGTGAACACGTTCGATGACGTTGTCCGTGGATAAAGCCGCGGCGGTATAACGCCACCGTCTCCGAGAGCCGACAGAGCCGGCCACGACATGCCTTTCTCTTGATCATCAGTGCGTGCCGAATTAACAATATTGACCAATGTTGAGCCGCTTCCTGCACGTACAGAATGCTGCTTTACTCCAGCATCGTTCTATGAAATATTCGGACCGGTTTGTGGAGGCCGAGCCGGGTTCAGCCACACCATCAGAGCTCTTGCTGGTTTGACCGCACGCCCGTGGCGTCACATACAGCGGCGCTGGACCCGGAAGTACCATGTATGGTAAACGCATGCTTCGGTGGTTTGTCCGTCTATTCCGCATTTTGAGCATGCACCCATGTTTTACGCGCAACGAGAGTATGGTTTTCAAGAACAATGTCGTAAAGAGATAGACGCACATCAAGGGCTTTTGTTAGCAAGGAGCTGTTAAGAGATATTTTACCTGTAAATGAGGTGTGAAGCACATCCTATCTACATGCATGCCTTTTCACTCATGTGCATTTCATTTCGCCTGGATTCCAGTCAAAGGAAATAAAATTAAAGACGTATGCGTTGAATTTGCTTTCGAGAAAGACGAACTAACCACCTGATCACCTTGTGCACACGGATAGAGATTCCATCCGCTTAAAATGTGGGAACACCTCCTTTCCTATCACGCTCCGAAACTGTCAGAGAAGTCAGACAATAGCACCTATCAAGTAGTCTCCCTTTGAGGAATTCCAAACCAAGTGTGGTGTCCGAATCAACTCGAAGACATGGACACAGAGGGATGAAAGGCCTGCTTTACGAAATGTAATCAGATAGTTGTCACTGTCGCCAGCGTTACGCTATCCTCTTGCAAATGGGACCGACTTACGCACTGTCAGACAATGATGCTAGTATTGCATTGCAAGAGCTATTTGCAGCAACTGTGAATTGGCTCTCCGATCCTTCTACATATCATTTGACATCGTTGAGACTTTACGACGGCTGCTGCTGAGGTTATACGGCGTCGCTTGCCTTTCATCCTGGCAGGAAAGGCTGGCATCGCGAGGAATAGATATTTCCATATATTCTGATCGACTTTTATCACAATATGTTTCGTCCAATACCCCAATCCCAGGACGTAATCATTCCAGTGCGCCGAGCAATGGCTTCTCCATAGTCTGGACAACTGAACCTCACTGCCGAGACTCGTCACAGCTGCCGACTGCAGTCATTCCCGCCACAGACCGTGCTGGAGAGACGGTTCCATGTGTCGCACCATGCCGGGAGACAACACGAACTGAGCAGCGGCCGAGCTCAGCAGGACACGAGCTGAACAGCGGCCGAGCTCAGCAGGACACGAGCTGGGCAGCGGCCGAACTCAGCGGGACACGAGCTGAACGGCGGCCAAGCTCAGCAGGACACGAGCTGAGGCAGCGGCCGAGCTCAGCAGGACACGAACTGAGCAGCGGCCGAGCTCAGCAGGACACGAGCTGAGCAGCGGCCGAGCTCAGCAGGACACGAACTGGGCAGCGGCCGAGCTCAGCAGGACACGAGCTGAGCAGCGGCCGAGCTCAGCAGAACACGAGCTGAGCAGCGTGTAGGTACCAGCCAGCCCTTACCCAGCATGACTATTATGTGCTGGGCAGGACCGCGCGCCAGCCGTCCCCAGCGTGACTACCAGGTGCTGGGCGAGACCGCGCGCCGGCCGTCCCCAGCGTGACTACCAGGTGCTGGGCGAGACCAGCGCGCCGACCGTCCCCAGCGTGACTACCATGTGCTGAAGCGAGACCGCGCGCCAGCCATCCCTAGCGTGACTACCATGTGCCGGGCGAGACCGCGCACCCGTTCGGCGGGTTGCTGACACGTTTCGCCCATGGCCAGTGGCCACCTTACCACTTCGGCGGCCATGATAGATGGATGAGTATGTTCGGCCAGCTCACCTTACCCCAGCATCACCTTGATGTCATCAACCACTTTCCCCTGCAGAACACTCCCCGTCTTTGACCAGCGAGTATCGTTCGCCCTCGGACACAGCGACAGCGCCATCCTTGACCCAGTTTGTCGAGATGGTGTTTGACGTTCACGGACGCGGGACGTCGCATGTAGAAGGGGATGTCCTGAAACAACAAGAGTTTGCGAGGCATGTTAGAGTTCTAACCGAGCTACGAATATCGAAAACAAGATGTGAAATTGGACGGATCTCTTCTCGCCGCTGAAATCAACATCACACTACCGACTAATAACAAAGCCCAGTCCACGTTCTTATGTACTGTAAGCCATGATTTTGTGGCTCTCATTGCCTTCATAAAGTTATGGCAAAACAGTCGGCTCTATCTGAGTGAGTAGAAGATCATACCTTGCTTATGCGGTGACCACGCCATCCAAACGCCTCAGAATGCGTTACCGGGGGTTACAGTGCGTTACGATGTCTTATCACAATATTTCAATGTGGGGCCAGATCCACAAAGACTACCCGCCCAGGTCGGGAATGCGGACGCGGCCTACCGTGTACACGGTCTTCACCAGCTCAGCAACGGTGCGAGCGTCGGGGTCAGAGGCTCGGAGCGCCGTCATGAGCTGACGCTCCCGCTCCAGGCGGTGGTCGATATAGTGCTGGAATCTTCTCCACCGGATTCTGGAGAAGACGCACTTTCAGACGCAAGACTGCAGCATTCTCAAGACCACTTGGCCGAATCATTTGGGGAAGAGGAGAAACCCCGGAACCCTAAAGAATGTGAGTGATAAGTCAAAGCACATAAAAATAAAGGAATTTGTTGCCTGTTTCAATGTTTTAACTCCACAGACATCAAACGTCAACAAACGTAAGGTCATAGCCGTGCCATAATGATCGAGCGGTGGCGGCACTGCCCTTCCATTCCAGCACGTGTCCTTAGAAAGCATTCCGAGGCTACAATAGCGCTGTACGGCCTGATGGAAGTGACTCAGTGGAACAGCTTGTGATGTGCTCTCCGTGTGCCATGTAAGCCTACATTAGGAAACATGGGCCGTGACGTGGGCAACCATCCTTACATCGGGAGCTGGTACCTGGAGACACATGCTTAAACGATGTGTCATATTGTCACGCCACGTTGTTAAGGTATTCCAACAAAGTCGGTTCGAAATTTTTTAGTCAAGGTTATATATGATGCCCTCATATATGTTCCTCGGCCCTGTGTTGTAGTCCAGCCATCGCAAGCCAGAAAAGGGTCAGATGCCCTCGTAACGTGGCCCATCCCATAACCACGTATATGTTCTGAAACCTTTAGAACATTTATTTGAGTGTCTCCAAATGGTTTTACACATTCTTGCTTTTTAGGGCACAACATTTTTCTTCTCCCATGACCGTATAACGTATAACACCGCATGTTTTCATTCTACTTAATTTTGCATGTTTATTTTAATTCTTTATCATAACCATTTATTCACATTCCGCATTCATACATGTCAAAATTTGATAAGGAGAGGGTATAAATGCCCAGGCGCCCCCATCGAAGGGCCTACTGTGAACGGCATTACATGCAGATAAGAGTACTTCGTTGGACCTTACTCCTCGCCGATAGATGAAGAGACGTTCAAAATCGATACATTGGTATTCTACCAACCGGCGCGTGTCACGACAGAACAATGCAATCACTGACGGCTGCATTGCATCCGTCATAGCAAACACAACACATATACTGACTGCTCGATCATTACATAAGGTTTCGACAAAAGCTTTGTGTCCGAAACGTCAAGATGTCCCCATATTTTCAACATCTTCTATCATCAACGACGAATAAAGCCAAGAGAAACGGTATTAATCTCAGGAATGGATTAGCTGAGGAGACTGGTCCCACATGAGGAGGCATCACTCATGAGCACCTGGATCGCACCCATGCCCCACCCAGAGCCGCTGCTCTTTACGGGGACCCGCAGACTTACCTCCACGACAGGTCCATGGCCGGGGTAATATGACGCGGGGCGCCATCTCCAGCAGCCGCTGCAGCGAGGCCATGTAGTCGGCCAGGTCCTCGAACACCGCCGTCGTCTCGCCAAGGACACCAGTCGCCGCTGAACAGGACGCCGCCCTCCGCTCATCATCAGCACCACGTGGTCCGTGCAGTGGCCGGGCGTGTGCACCACCACACTGCGGGCGCACCGGGCGGCGTCACGCGCGGGCTGGCCCAGTACGGCCGGAGGCGGCGGCCGCCGCGGCAGGCCCGGCCCGCACAACGCATCGGACGAGCGCGCCCCGGGCCCGCCGCGGCTCGGCGGCGCGAATGCGACGCGGGCCCACTGACCGACCAGCCCTCCTCCGCGGGATAGACGAATGCCGCTGAAGATGGCGGCGGTGGACGGCAGAAGGAATCGAGCCGAGATCGCGACGCAAGCCCGTCAGGAATTTCGTACGATCAAGCTAGCCGGCTGGGTTTTTGCTTCGCAACACTTGGGTCGGTACCAAATGCAGGAAAAAGGGAGTCATTCTACGCCCCATTCAGGATATCCAACCGCTTCCTCACTCCCTGAGAACAGTTGGAAGCCTCATAAGCATTCGCGCTCACTGGTCACAGCGAGCAGCGAGAGCGTGAGACCTCTCCTGGCATCGGCGACAGCGGGGCCTACCGGAGTGTGGCGCCCTCTGTGCTGATGACGTCGCCGTCACTGAGCAGCGTCACACCGGGCGTTTCCGCCGCCTCCGGGCGCGGGAACTTGCGAGCCTGGCACGTCTGGGAGCCCAGAACCGGCGTCACAATCAGCCATGCAGCGGGCTCGGGGGACAGCGCACATGGCAAAGACCGCACGCAGCCGCAGCGTCGACGCCACCCAACACCACCCCGCTGGTCCTTTGGACTGAACGCTTCCGTTCGGCCAAAGCACAACAGTAGCTACCCGCCCCCACGTCCACACAGATGAGGGCATTGCACTCCTCCCATGCTCTCCGGCAGGTGTCGGGAGCGTTAATCAGACGGTGACGTCAAGTAAGCCGGCGACCGTCAGTCGGACGCGGGGCGCATGCTCGGCTGAACAAGTCCGCAATGTTGGTCACGCGCCAGCGGAGTGGCATACTTGACTTTTTCGAACAACCGTGATATCTACTTCACACACCTGCCGCCACTGTGGCCACCACGCTCACAGTCACGCACAAGATATTTCACGATACCAGGAGCCTAGTAATACACAGTCGGTAGGATCTTCTCGGCCTCACTGCATGGAAGCGGGACGCGCAGGCTGCCGACCGCGCCGCGTACCTCCGAGCCGGCGCCGGATGTCGGCCAGCCCGCCCACATGGTCCGGGTGCCAGTGGGTGAGCACGACCTCCTGCAGTTCGGCGTCCGCCTCGCGAAGCACCCGCTCGAGCCGATCCACGTACTCCGGCACCGACGCGCTGCCCGTGTCCACGAGGATCCGCCTGCCAGCATCGTCACGTGCCGCACAGCCGCCATACGGCGTATCCCCCGTGGGAGCCAGGATCCGCCGGCTGGAGCCGCCACGTGCGGCGCACGGCCATCGCCGATCATGTCATCACACGGCACACCGGTGTAACCAGCCTCCGCTTGGTCATTCTGTGACGACTGTGCGACATATGCAGCTCAACACGCACTGGTGAGAGAGACCAATAACGAGGTCAGCTCTGCCGTTTTTGACGGATCGAATCGTGAACAGTTACAAGCGCCCCACCCACCCCCGACAAAACATCCAAGGCGTGTTTTAAGGAGATTCTACCGCGAAGGTGAGCCGGGAGAACCGAAGTGGAGGGGGGGGGGAGCCGGAAGACCGGAAGTGGAGGGGGGAGAGCAGGAGCAAGGACTTAAGCTGCCCTTCAAATATGAAGCCTTCGGACCTGAGGTACATACCCTGCTGCCATATGCACCTAGGTTTTTCTCCCGGTGCACAATTTTGTCTTCTCGACCTATCCAGTCGCATGCGTCATATCATCGGTCCTACTAGGAACGTGCAACTTCACGATTGGGAAGACATTTTGGGTGAATCGGGAGTCACTTGGCTTTCCCCTTAGAATGTTGAAACTGACATGCCAACATCGACGCATCAGTGATAGAAGTAACCTTGTGCATCGCACCAGAACAGTATTGCCAAAAAATAGCAGCCAGCCTCAAATAGCGCGGGAATGCGTCGCTCGGTGCAACAGTTAATGCATTCATGCCCACTAACGGCAAGCTTGGATTTCAGGCCTGTGATTGGTCAGTTTATAAGCAAGTTCAAGACGTGGAGTTCATGGAGTTCACATGGAGCAGCATGGAGTTCACTGGAATGACCAAACCACGGTAACCCTTGATGACAGGGTTCATCGCAGGTTCTAAGGCCAACGTCCCATGGTCAGTTTGGCGATTTATTCTCTGTGGGCATGGAACATCTACCAGCGAAAGGGAATTCCAGGGATAATTGCAACAATCTCCTGAGAATCGGCGCTCCCATTTGTGAGGCAATAGTTTTCGACGTACCCCGTCTGAGAGCTCCAGAGAGGCAGCGCCGAAGCGCTTTTCAAGCTATCCGAGTGGTGGCTTCATCAACGGTGCCCTTACATGTGGCATTTACACTCTACACCATCTACTGTGTGCTATGCACACTCAAGCCAGCGACCAGCGGCATACAAAAATACACCTCGGCTCTTCTGTGAGAGGTACAGAGATCGACATCCAGCTAACTCTTCACCTCCTGTTAGAAGTGGACATCCAACCCGCAGTTTGCGACGATCGCTTATTTCAGTACTTAACTGAAATTTGACAAAACGCTTCGCAGCTATGTTTTTGTATGCAAAGGAAATGTGTGCATTCTCTGAATTGTCAAGGACTCGTCTGTGATCCACAAATTTATGGAGCACATTTCAGCGTGGTGCAAATATCTGTGGAAGCTTCAGGCTACGCTTTCAAAAGCAAAACAAACATGCTAAAGCTATGCCAGGCAGTGTTCTTGGAAAGGGCCAGACCATGCCATCAGATCGCTAAATTCCAGGTCAAAAGCAGAATTTAACGGCGAGCTCTTGGTGAGCACCATGCACGGCGCAGCCTGTCGTGACCTCTAACGTTACCTGACCTTTAACGCGGCGGCCGCTGCCACCGGCCGCAAGTGGTCCCAGAACTGGGAAAAACAGTGAGCATCTGAAGAATCCTGGATCTGAATCAGGGAAAAGCACAAGCGTGGGTCCATTTTCGGGACTATTGACCCGTCCACGGGCTGCGAGACCTCGGGACGTACCGTCTGCCTGTGCCGACCAAGTAGGTGTTGGTTCCCTGCAGCGTCATCGGACTGGGGTTGCAGGCGAGCACGCGGGTGACGGCGTCAGAGAGCTGAGCGATGCCCGGCAGCGGTGTCAGGCCCGGCTGCAGGCGCCAGCTCTGGAGCCAGCCGAACGTCTTGAACACGGCGCGCATCAACATCGCCTGTCGACAGAGACCGTGGTCACGTGACGACGATCGCTGGCTGAGACCGGGTCACGTGACGACGATCGCTGACTGAGGCCGGGTCACGTGACGACACCGGCTAACTTCTCTTGAAAGGACGCGGTAGGCGTGATTCGCGAGAAGCGTGTGTTCACGTGAATAGACACGTGAAGAAGCAAGCGCGGGTTAAGTCAAGCGTAGCGCGCAACCGCCGCTTGGCCACGGGTCGACTTCGACGCAAATCGTTCTCGGAAGACGCGAGCGTGTCAGTCCTCTCTGCAGGGGCGGCCGATATCCCCCCCCCCCCTCCCTGAGGAAGTTCAACGCAGCCACTCGTCCTGGGTACCCAGCCACCTACGGCCCAGCGATGACCAAAAAAGATCATTTCCAGGTTTGAAGCAAACTGGTGACATTCCGTAGTTTCAAAATTTTGAATGCAACTTTTGACGGTTATCGAAATTTGAAGCAGCATTCTGACAGAACGAGAAAAAGCCGTCATGTCAGGAATATTTTGCAGGGCGCCGTATTCTGCATATGCGTCTAGAAGTTCTACGAACATGCTTTTAGGATGTGGGCATTAATGCGCTTGAATGACTTCAATATTGCATAGGACTGTTGAGTGTATGCGCCCCTACTTTTCAGATGATTGTACTTTGCCGTGTGCCTGGACAATACTGTGAGTGAGAAATAGGAGGCATTCTGTGCAGTTCGTTTTCACAAAAAGTTACTTTGCGGAAGATGGACGCGGTTCTTACCTATTTTTAACTTGGTTTCCCGGACAGGATTCCCAGTAAGAATTCAGCTGCTGGCACTATCACTTTTACGGCATCGAGCATAAGTTACAGGTCATCACCAGCTGTTTATATCTATGCTAATGCGGAAAATCGGTCTGCTACGAGAAATCAGGATGCTGTGACAAATGTTCGCTGCATTTAAATTCGATGCGAAGCGTCTTTGCCGCATACAAGGTTGGCTTCCAGCTAGCCGGCTAGCGGACTATCGGTGACCGATCGCGGGACCGTTGCGGCTGGCTGACTGTGGAGGGCTGGGAGGTTGAGGATCCGGGAAAAAAGGTATACGCACAGATAAAAGCCATGAATTTGAGATGCATAAATCCACTCCATTGAACTCGTTCGTCATTACGATTCGCACAGCTTCAAAATTAATTACGTGTTTACTACGATGTGTTATAATGTTAGAACGTGTTCACGCATACTTAAATGGCCATCCTATCGCAGTGGCTGACTGTCACGGGGAAGGTCATTGTCTTAGTGGGGAACAGTACGGAAGTTACGTACAACCAGTTATTTGTCTAATGAACGCTGGGGCTGCTTGGGTCCCGCTTAGCATCTCGTTACCCTGTAAAATCAGTACAACTTATTTTTACAGATTTTTACATGAATTTGGCTAACTTTACCCAAATGAGCAAAACTTAATATCGCCGATTTTACAAGGTAGCGAGATGTTAAACGAGAACCGAGCAGCCTCTGGGTACTGTACTGTCTGGCAAGGCCCGGCAGAAATTTCCCACGGCGCGTCGACCTAGGAAAATTTGCTGAGCTCTTGAGAACTCATGGGAATTTCCAGTTTTTCCAAATTCTCCAGTTGGTGGAACTCCCCCACCAGTGCTTGCGATCTTCGGTTGCTCTTGGGTTTTAAAATATATTTTTACTATTTTGATAACGTTCGAAAGGATGCGGGAGACATTTTCAACTCCAAGCCCATAAGTTAAACCAATTCTGGGATCATTTATCAGTCATTGGCAATCAACTGTTCACAGAAATAACTAGCTGGCTAGCCGCCGGTGTCGGGTCGATGGCCGCCGACTCTAAAAACGACTAGCCGCAACAAATGTTGCGTAGAGAATTTCAAGGCAGAGTTCATTACGTTACTTCGGTGTCTTGAAAATGAAGCGGTATTCTCATGCCCCTGGACCCTTGACAAGTCCTTTTCAACCAGCCAAAGAGCTGTCAGCCATGTCGCTGCAGTCAAGCAAGCCAAGTCACCAATAATACCATCTGACCTCCATCGTCAAGTGCAGATTGATTACACGCAAACTATTCCTTGCTCTAAGGCAGCGAATCTGCGCCTCTCCCTTCACGCCACCTGGCTGCATGTTGATTTCACTGATTTCCGACTCGCTTGCTGAATAGAAGTGTTCCTGACACTTGTCGAACACGAAAGCCAATGCGGTTCTGTTTTGGATGCTGTCAGACAAGCCAAAGCTCTCTGAAAGATGGGAAATATGGGCAACAAACTAGGATTAGGGATCGAGTCGCTTGATACAGGAACGTTGGTGTCAATTTACCGTTAATATGCGATGGTGCGCTAAGAATCGCTAGTCACTATATGTTCTCAGGATCCACATACGGAAATAAAGCGTAGTTGTAGGCATCTGTCCAGCTATAGACGCGCTAAAACTACTTGAACTCGCGGTTCAGCCACCCGAGACGCGCGAACCAGCGCTGTTTTAGCGGTCACTTCGCTTATATTAGCACTTACTTAAAGCGTTATTCTGCCCGACCCTAATTTTAAAGTGGTTCATACGCCGTTGGTCCCCGTATACTATAACCCCCACCCGAGGTTTAAAAACGCCACGAGGGCTGTAAAGGCATCCCAAGAAATAGAAGTTCACTTCGAGCGCCCGTGGGACCTTGGATAACGTTGCGGTTTTGAGGGGCGCCCGTGGCGTTCGAAAATACAACCGAGCTATCTTCAGGATATCCTGCCCCCCCCCCCAAAAAAAAACAACCAGACGCAAGAAAAGGCTTCAAAGACGCCGGCGCGCGCTGAAGGAGTCTGACGCGCCTCAGTGTGTGTGCATAGCGTTTTAGCGCTGCATTCATTGAAACTGGTGCCCGTAGATAGGGTGTATCCTTCAAATTCCTGGATCGATTTCTGGCTGGCCAATTCGTTCGTTGCACAACGCAAAAAGCTGACCGACGTGTAAAGGGGATGTTCAACATTTCTATGCGGTTTTTAATCGAATTAGCCATCTTGAAGGTCATTCGGCACAGTTCACAGCCCCGCCCTTCTTGAGAACCCAGACTTCTCCAGTTTCTGAGCTACACGCCAGCGAAGATGAGGGTTTTCGGGGGGAGTATTTCAAGGTCACTCAGGCATTCATGACATAAAAACGTCATTCATGGTCGAGTTATTCATATCCGGCATTCGTGAGCACGATTTCCAGATAAAATGGCCGTCAATTAGCTCTCGGTCAATGTTGTGCAAGGCACGATGACGTAATCAAATAACTTATCGAGGACATATTTGCTAAACCGAGAAATCATGTGGTCTAGAGCAATCTTTTGTATTAAAAAAACATGCCAATATATATAAGCGAGCTTGTTTCATCACATCTGATGCTGGTTTTAATATCTTCAGCTGTGAAGCATTCCCTTTAAGGTTGTATTGAAACCATATCCCAATATCATGCACATCACTCAGCACAGATCGAACACCTAAAATCACGCAAGGTTGGCAGCGCCAGCTCATGCAAGCCGCGCAACTAATCCACATTCAAAACTTGCATTCATGCTCAGCGCCCCTAGCTAACGAATATTTCACATTTCTGCCACCCATACCCAAAGCTTGGTCACGCCCACGCCACCCACGACAAAACTCTTTCATGGCAGCAATCATCCCACTTAAAATTATCCATGTCCCTCACAATCCCGGTCAGAACTTTTTTACGCACGCGGCCACTCGCTCAGAACCTCTTCTTGTCTGCAGCAATATATTCAGAGCATCGTCTTGCCCACAGCACTGCTCTCTGGACTATTTTCAGTCAGCGGCACTCCCAACTGGTACTCCTTCATGTCCGCCACGCCTCCACCCAGAACTCCTTCGTCCATGGCGTCCCCACCCACAAATCCCGTGCGCCCATGAGTTCCCACTCAAAACTCCTTCATGTCCGAGGCGCAGAAGCGCTGGATATCGTCCATGCTCATGGCGCTAAGTCGGAGCTCGAACTTCTTCTTGAACTCGGCGAGCAGCCGGGGTGCGTCCTCCTTGCCCAGGTGACGCTCGGCCAGGCTCTGGAGCGGCGCCCACGGGTCGGTCGGAGGTGCCGAAGCCGTCGTCTTCATCGTCACCAGGAACACCTTGGCGCCGGGCGTGAGGCGCGACGACGTCACAGTCTCGTCGTCCTGTAGCGTCTTGCCACGGTATACCAGCTTCTGCGTCTGCTTGGGCACCCGGAGCTTCGACTCCACCAGCGTCTTCAGCATGGATATCGTTGTATCCTGTGAGACCTCGACCTGGCACTCCTCGCCCTGCAGTATCTTTACAGTGATCTCCATGTGAGCTTGGCGCGTCTGTCTGCAACAAAGATGGTTGTTCAGAAATGCCAGCCGTAAACAACAGCGTCGAAGCCGTGGCTCTTTTTCACAACTGCTGACATCGTCCAAACCTAGACGTAACACGACCGCTTTAAGCCTCACACAGGTCACGCGGCGATGTACATGGCCAAGGCTGCTGCGACCACACGCTTGTCAACCAGCCAGTGGTGCAGCAGGTTCTGGTACAGCCGCAGGTCTTTCCTAAAGGAGTCAGCGGACAGTGCACCCATGTGGGTCTCCCCACCATTGTCCGCTGGGGCCCTTAGGAATGGCCTAAGGCTGTACAAGGAGAATCGCTGCTCGAGCAACCGTTGCACTACCGGACGGTTGACAAGCCCACGGTCGGAGCAGCGTTGGCCGATGTACCTCCACTTGGCCTGTCTGAGGCCCGAGACGGTCGTGCTCCGTCTGGCTTCGGGTGACGTCCGCCCTCGTGACAACGCAGCTATGGCAATGACGCTGTCGGCCATCCCAGCGGCGGGCCATTTTGAAGGTGTTGCGCCATTTATCGACTCGGAGATACAACTGTTGGATCCGGTATGCGAGTCCTCTTGGCTGGTATTCCACCTTATTCGGATCAGAGGCAGCCGGTGGTTAACAAGCGACTTGATGTACGGGAATGAGAAGTAATCACGCGACGCGAGGGTCTGCTTGGTAGCGACATTGTTTTCATTGACACGGGTTGACATTTTCTTTTCTTTTGGTGGAGGTCGAACAGACGAAAGCGTGGTCCAAGTAAAGTCAGGTGCGGTTAAAAATGGGGTTTAACGAGCCTACACGACCGTAGTGAACACACAATCAAGCTCTTCGTCGGAAGTATTTGTTTGATTCTCATCTTGACACAATTCGAATATTTTTGGTTTTAAGCATTGCTTCCCCATTCACGTTCTGGAGAATGCCACTTTCTAGAGCAACGGCAACTAAACAACTGCATATCACAAGCCGTGCCAGTAGTCAGCGCTGGTTTGCGGCAAGTGTGCATAGAAAAACTTTGTATGTCTCTTGTTCGGAAGATAAGGTTTGCGTGCCTTCAGTTGGTCAAGATAGAGCACGGAGGGGGGAAGCTGTAACGTGAAAAGTTTGTAAAGTAAAACTTCAAGCAGGCTAAAGCTTGTGTGATAAAATGTTCCTCGGGAAAGTGTGTAACACGAAAGGTTCGCGCACGCAGAAGTCAGCAGTGTATACAGGAGTTCGTCAAGCAGCATCCATGACAGGTGTGTAAATAGCAGCGCCTTATTGGGCAAGCGTGCTGTGGCCGGTTTTTTCATTTGATCCATTTGATCGCTGTAGGCCATTTCAACTTGCTTCAGACTGGTGATAACTCTGCCCCAGTTAAGTGACCATGGTGATAACTGGTGATAACTCTGTGCCCCAGTCAGTTATCACCATGGTCATCCACCCCACTCAGTCATCAAGACCATCTAGAGCTGTTTCCTGTTTCCAAATTCCCGGCAGCCAGCACACTTAAGGGTGGGTGGAACCCCTAGGGTGATGACAGCCAGCCAGGTGCTGGCGGTCGTGAGGTGGTCATTTGCCAGCATCAACATTTACATGCCGCACTGCTGCAAGGACCAAAGCGTACCCATTTTTGGAGCATGGTAACATCATCTTGGGCACGTTCGGCAAACTGGATCAGGAGCGGCTAGAGCTGGTTCAATGATGAGCTACCTGCCTTGTCCAAGAAGTGAAGCATCAGCTATATCCTGAAAAACTCCTACTCCTCAAGCCATGCTGGATGTAATGCCACTGTCACGGGAGAGACATGGCTGGGCTGCAGTATTTCAAATGTTTTAGAGAGCCATGCCCCTGTCAGTGCAGAAATTCCTGACAAAACACAATTCAAAGAAGACAAGAGAATGCCTATGGAGGCTGATGGAACCTTAAACTATGACGCTTGTCCATTGAAACTTGTTCGGCACTCTGATCATAAATAATTGGAAATGCTATTCCATCTGAAGTTGCACCACCAACCTCTACTATTAGGCACCAAATCCACAACAAGCACCCAGTCCATACAAATCACCAGTCCCATACAAAGCAGCAGGTGCATACCAGGGCCAAATTCCCCATTATCATTCCACATATTCCCCGTAATTCCCCCAACAGCTGTCCTCGAATCACAACCTGATGTTAGGGGTACCTCAGCACACATCAGTTCCTATGGTTCAGAGAATAGTTGCTTGTGTGTGACATATGCACTTGCACCATTGTAGGTGGCAGCTCAGGCAGGTACCTCGCCAATGAAGAATGTGGCCGATGTGATCTTCACCTTTCAGTTGATGCTTGTTTTCTGGACCATGAACTCAACCATCAATCTGTCACACAATGCCAATGCCGTTGGTTGAAAGGCTAGACAATGCACAGGCATGTACGTGCAATTACAAACGTTTTTCAGGGATGCATTTGCCTTCCTTCATGACTTCAGTGATTTAAAAAAATAAGGTTATCGCGCTTTGGTCAACGTTTCACACTTCATTCACACAACACCTGAACCGACGTCTCACCTGGCAGTTTGATGTACCGTCTAGATGTCAAGAGAGCTAAATAAAGCCACCTGGAAGCCACAGCCGCGCCTATAAGCAATCTAGGAAATTCAGCCACAGAACATCGCGATTACAACCCACTACAAACCAGGGGCAACGTCCACGGGTCAGGATGCGTTTTCGCGTTACGCCCGCGGAGTATTTTCAGGGGCGTTCAAGCTTAACTCGTCCGATATTTCAATTTACGCAATCCCTTAAGGACCCGCGGCGAAAACCACGCAACTGCTACATTCGTGGTACCAGAAGGTGTATGCAAAATCAAGCTAACGTAGGGGTCCTTATCTAGTTGCAGCGAATGAATGCAGCGGTTGTCCGCTAAAGCTGCTAATATCTCCGAAATTGCACGCTGTGAGCAGCATTGATATCTTATCTGTGGAAATCGGCGAGGAGACATAAGGTGAATCCAAGGTAATCCGATTGGCAAATCTGTAATTGTTTGGCTAAGGGTCTATTCCGGGCGTGAACGTGCTTAAGACCAACTACTATCAAGGCCTTCCACGAAAAGGAAGGTTGCATGTAGGCCATCAGCGGGCCCAGAAATGATCGTTTGTGGTGCCTGTGGGTGGGGCTCCTGCAGCTGATCGACTGTCATTACCGTTTACATATGTATGCCTGTGTCTTGCATAGGCCTTCTTTCATAAATCTATTCCAAGCATTTTCATTGGATGGATTTCTGACACCAGAGCTATGCTAAGCAATGCTTGTTTTGTAAACCCTGACCTGTCATCTTATCATGAAAACTCAGTTCCATGGCAGTATGTTGTGGATCAAGTTCATCATGCTGCTATACTTGGTGCCTCTGCCCATGTCTGTCATCATTACCTAACCTTCAGTGGTGGCCACCATTGGCTACAAGCCATCCCAGCATGGTGTGAATACTTAGAACTGAAGAGAGCCAAACCCACCCACTGTTCCATGGGTTGAATGGGGGCAGGCACTCCTACTGGTTGAGCCGTGGGTGCGTAGAGGTGGATGCTGTAGCCTAATAGGCTGACTTGTTTGCTGATGTCATTAATACTCAGGACAGAGAAAAGCTGTAATGCTATTTTCATGGTCCTGTGTCAGGCAGGCATGGTATGTCAGCTATGGAAGTCCCAATTTTGCATGGTTTGATCTGAGTTGTCATCTTTTGTCCTCAAACTAAATAGCTGGATGCCACTAGATAGTGCATTGTGGTAGCTTTCACCACATAATTTTATCTTGCTTGGTTTTTAAATGGTGGTGACATTGGGATCCTACTAGTATGCTTGATACTGGATACCATCAGAAAACTTTCATTAGAAACACTGTGGTGGTCTGTACCACTTTGTTCTATTTTGGTAAGGTATGAAGCAGACTCAGGTGGGGCTAATTGGACCCCCACCTGTGGTAGGGCAAAGTAGGTAAGAATCCCAGGTAGATCCAGTGTAGGGTTATGCCTGACAGGTTCTGGAGGTGAATTAAGTTCTCCATTCCAGCTGAAGAGTTGAGTCTGTAATGAGTTTGGAGATCAATGAAGCAATATCCACAGGCCTGCTGGCCCTGTAAACTTAAAGTGCTGTGTGATAAGGCGACATGTGTATGTGTGATAAGGCAACATATGTATTAACTTTATGAATTGTGAATTGGGGTATTCATTGAGACTGACTTTTTAAGTATTTGATACCTCTCCTTTCTCTTGATTTAAATGCAGCATCATGTCCTGCCATCAGCTCACACAATACTTAGCAGCCATGCAATGAGTGTGTCAGATGCCAGCCCTCTTTCTGGCCAGTTGTGTCATGTGCTGGTGAGCTGCATGGCATCTACCAGCCAGTCACTGGATGTGCCAGCTTGGAACCACCAAATGTGCCTTACCCCATGCTCTGCCAGCAGGTGGTGTGATGTACAGCAGCCGGGCCCTGCGTGTGGTGCGCTGGGGCCGCCACACCTGCCACTGCTTGGACGCTGCTGCCCAGCTGCACACCAGGCAGTTTGCACCCAAGAAAGCCCTGATCCTCACTAAGTTTTCAAGATATGAATTTGAGAAAAAGAGGCATGGAAACATTCCGGAGGTCAGTGTGATATTGACTGGATTGGTGGGGCCAGCTGATCAGTACTGTTGATGTTGATGAGTCTCCATTCTTTTGTCACCGGGGCCTGGATGCTACTGTGTGTTGACAGTGGTTGTCCTGTATGAACTGTGATAACAGACCGGTCATTGACTTAGGCGGAGCTGGAGAAGAGACTGAAGGAGCGTGGATCAGACTACAACATGCTGCTTTACCACCACTACCTGCATAAAGGCTGTGAGAACACTGTCGTGCAAGCTCTCCGCAACCAGAACATTGACACAAAGGTTGTTACAAGGTGAGCTGCAAACCTGGTGATCGTGATGCCTCAATGTAATGATTTGGATGGACATTGATACTTGTGAAGGAAATGAACAGGTATTTTCTGTCATTCATTCATGACTGCTGCAGGATTGTTTGATGTATGAATTTATGGAGGTGGTGCTTACTGGATTGAAAAATGTGGGTTAAGAAAAAGTAGGGTACCTGCAGTGCTAAGCCTTAAGCAGACATTGCATGTTGTGAAAGTTGGGAATTGCATGAGTCATGAGGCATGCAATGAAGATGATTCGACATCCATGTTAGCTTTAGCAGCTGGACACTTTAGCCTGGTAATTGATAAAGTTAAAACTGATGAAGAAGGCATGAATGCTTATGACTGATGATCATTTTGTTATCCTCAGGTTCGATTATAAATCCGATGTGATCGAGGAGTCTGACATCGTTTTCACAATGGGCGGCGATGGCACGTTCTTGCTCGGGGCGACGCGCATCCTGCATCCAAACAAGCCTATAGTGGGAATCAACAGCGACCCCACGCGCAGCGAGGGCCACCTGCTGCTGCCCAAACGATACTCGGTCAACATCAAGGAGGCTGTTCAGAGGCTGCTCGCAGTAAGCTGAGCTATCATCGCGATTTATCGTTCAATGCGGGGCTGAAATACTCGGTCAGGAATCTCCAACACCATTGACTTGTTTGGCATTGACATTTTGACGAGATGTGACAACTGACGTGACATGCTGCGGCGTCACTGGACCAGCTGTCGCTTTCGTTGATAGGAAGACTTATGCTCAGCTAGATCGGGGCATCGTCGGTGGCAGAATGGACCTTTCTTTGCTTCATGGCTCGCTTTCATTTCCGTGACTTGATTCTGCCTGGCACAAACATGTGCTGACTCGGTGTTGGCACCTCCGTGTCAAGCGCCGTAGGTGCGGTCCTTACACTGCCAACATACCGCTGGACCCTCGACACCGCATAAGCAGTTGACGCCCGCCTCTGCTCGCCCATCACGTGTGACCTTGACATGACGGACGGCTCCACCAGGGCAAGTTCCGCTGGCTGTTCCGCAAGCGGATCCGAATGACGCTGATCGGCCAGGACGTGTACAAGCCTCCGGTCGAGCTCCACAACCAGCAGCTGCTCAACCCCGAGTACAGGTCAGGCCCGGCGCCTGCGTCCCGGGGAACGGCGGTCCTGTCTGGTGGCCGAGCTGTGGGGCCTATCACTCAGTCGACAACACGTCCCCAAAACCGGTGAACCAGTCATATTTTGATACCAAGGTAGCTTGAGAGGCGGAGGAGTAGTAATCGTCCTGTGACCGAATAAAAGACAATGTTGCCTCCCCAGCAAAGGTTTCCCTTTTCACAGTGTTGAACACTGGAGCACTGCCTGGTGAGGGAGTCTTCATAAAACTGCGAGAAAAACCCATGTATGGGATGCACATTAGGGCAATTTGGTACCCAGCTATCAAGCCAATGTGCTTTACTATGCATGTACATTTGCACTTTACTGTAGCGTGCATACAAAATAAATGAACTTATATCTCCAGGTACATATTTTCCTAGTGAATGATCAGACAAACTATACATGACAGCGATAAAAAGTGCAATACGCAGGTAGGCAAATTGTCAGTTTATTTCCAAACGGTTTCTTGGTGATGCCCATTGGCAGGAGCCATCACTGGATGGGAGATCTCCACCCGAACCGTCCAAGTTACCCGCTTGCTGCTGTAGGGTAGTAGAAAGGTGGGATATCAACATACCCAGTTGGCTGAAACCATACAACTGATAGGGCGCTTTGCGCACGACACGCCCGTACCCATCTTGTTCGTGGCGCTGGTCTGTTCCCGTGGTCTGATGTAAATGATATTGAATTTGGTGGTCGTTGGTCTTGTCTCCTGTAAATAATCTGTTATTTCGTGGCTTATCGTTTTGCTGTTGTTTGCAAGCGTTCCTTTTCTTCGTGCTCGCTCTTTGTGTATGGTGTCTCAACCTGCCTTGTTTTTAGTGCCCGTCTCACATGTAAACTCATCACGAATAGCTCGTAATTCTGGAATACCACTCCCTGCATTGAGGCGACGACAAGCGACGCTTTCAATGTCGGACTGTTGGAGACTATGGGAGACTATATTATTTTTATATTGTTGTTATTGGAGACTATATTCCTTTTTAACTATCGAAACTAGCCGACCAAAGGACCTTGGCGTGGGTGCAGTGGGTTAACCTTTAGCGCACTTGCTTTGGTGTTTTTATTAGCGTGTTTGGTCCATTGTTTAGATTAAAAACAAAGAGAGACCCAGCTGATAGAAATACAAAGTCAAATGGAACAAGCTTCAGTTCTCCGGCCCACCATCGATCTGTGCATCAGCAGCTGTATTTCATCACCAGACATAGATCACTGCAGATCAACAGCCATTTCAGCAGCAGTGTACAAAAAGCCGGTAGACGCAGCACATTGCCTCAGGACCACAAGCCAATGCCCAGAACGGTGCAAAGCCAGCGTAGCGCGCTTCTTCCTCGGAAACGTCGCCAACCTGTGCCCTGACTGACGTTATTGATAACGATACCTTTACTTGGCTGATATACACCCTCATTGGCCTCTGCAAACTAATGTTAGAGGCAGTCTGTGATGCCTAGCAGCCTTCTACGTGGCATCAAAGTATCGCTGGCTTACCATATTGTGTGACCTGTGACCCACGCCATAGTGCAGTCATGAGTTGAAAGCCATGTGGTATCGATGACGAGTTTGAATTGGCTGGCATGTTCACCTCTTTTGCACTCGTAGCTTCATTCATGTTAAGCTCTTGTTCGCAGTGGGTGAGACCGGCAC